TCTGTTATTGGTTTTCCTATCTCCCAAAAACCAACCAAAGTGTTAATACAACTTACTGATGGGGTTACGGTTGTGCTTACCAACCAAAAAGGAGTTAATAAAGAACCACCAAATGTCTATATGGCTACGGTAGAACATCCGAATGTCGAAATGTCCGAAATTCAATTTCCTAAAGCCGAATTTCCCGAAATTCAAATTCCTGAAGTCAATTTTCCTTCATTCGATTCAATTTTTGAAAAAATTCGTGAATTCTTTGAGGCAATAATTAAATTTATAACCAACAATTATATTATCTTTACTATTATTTTTAGTGTTATAATGATAATTGTTATAGCTTATTATTGCCGTTATTTCCGTAATTTCTTTTCTTCCCTCATTTCACGTATCCGGAATAAAATTCTCATTAAGTTAGGATTTGATCATGACGGAATTAGAAAACACAGTATTGCTTCCAAATGGCAGTCATCTCAGGCTAGGCAGCCGTTAGAATAGTCCTAATGAATTTTATGACATATAACTAGCTAAAATTACACTGTACCTAATAATAGTGTAGTTTCGATTTAACTATAAATTATTTTATATCACAATTACGTCATAAATATTTTAAAATAAATTTTGATTTATCATTTTTTTCTAGAAATTTTTTAATAACAATATTAACCGAGAATCACACCTTTTATTATCCAAATCTAGAATAATATTAAACGCAAGCTAGTCGGAATTTACTAACTAAATAGCAATTTTATAAAAAATTTTTTCCGATTCATTTCCAAATGAGATTAGAAGAAATCAATGAATCTTTCAAATTCAGCTTATTAGTATTAATAATTCATTTATTAAAGATCAAAGCAAGACAATAAATAAGTATTAAACCCAACGGTTGAGTTTCAAAACTTGGTTGCTTCACATGTTATGTTATGCATATAAGGTTGAAAATTTGAATTACATACTCTGTAATTAAAAAGCTAAAAATAAATTATATAGTATGGCTTAGTATAGTGTTCTGGAGGTAAGTTGACTTAAATTATTACCAATATAATAGCGTATATAATATATATATTTTTGTTACACTATATTGGCTGAAATTTAAAATACGCCTTAGTAGGATCACTTCAATATTTTTTATTTTTTATTTTTTAGCTAGACGAATCTACAGTTTTCGGTGTATGGCAGACACAAGCAGCTTAAAATCCCTCAAACTTAAACTGTAGCCTGAGGTACAACTTAGAATCGCAGCTTAGGTGGCAGTTCGATTATATAATACAGATTGAACCATGGTTTAAACACCAATATTACATAACTTTAGTGTAATATATTAATCTAATGAAATCGTCTGTCACAATTTTTAATCTTTTAATGTTAATTTGAAATAGCCTCTCGGTTTTAAGTGTGGTGGACGTAAAAAAGAACTCACAAATTTAATTGATTAAAATTGATTTCTATTTTTATACAGTATATTTTGGGCAAATTTTAATATATTTATATGTCAATTATATATTATAAAATGCACCTATGGTGTTCAACACCATATATAATTGTTTTTAATAAAATTTAGGGTTAGGGTACATTTTT